CATACGTTGTTTACGGTGGACAAAAGAAGCGGAGGACGTATTTATAGTCTTTAAAAATCTGCGATTATTTTTTAGCGCTTCGTAACCGTTCGGAATGATACTCTGCTTATCCATGAAAGGATTCTTTTAGCTACTCTTGAACCACAAGTTTCACTTGAAGAATTGACGCTACCCTACTGCCGTAGTTCTCAAACCTAGAGTGCGATCAGGGCTCTGTGTGTGATGTACTGTGTAATGAAAATAATAACTGATTTCTGACTTCAGGAAAGGACATCATTCCGGAGCTGGTGATTCCCCACAAACGCCGGGTGTGGTTTGAGGATCAACGAAAAGTTAAGGATGTTTCATTCATTCTAACTGCGGAGACACTTCGACGTCTGCCAGTCAATCGGACAATAATTCTCAATCGGGGTTCTGGCTATCAAGTACAACTGCGTCTTTTTGTTTGGTGTCCTTTTTCCACCAATAACTTCTTTCTATATACTGAGTTTCCTTATTTTCAACTTCGTTCAGGTGCAAATAGAGTTCGAGATGGTTCAGTTGGAACCCATTCTTGAACCAGTGAACCACTCGGCAAGCAATGACAATGCTCACTTCCTTGCTTCGGCTCAGGACGGTGTCAGTGCTTCTGAGGATCTCTACAGTCGTCAGTGGTTCGGTGGTAGCACCGCGGACGCCTCCATTTCGCATGCACAGAGCGGTGGTTTTAACGAGAATTGGCATCGAGCCAATGAAACGTTGGCTCGTCTCTGTCCCTTCCCTATTCCTCCAGTTTACCATCTTACCATGCTTGTTCATAGGGTAGGTGGAAATATCACAAATTGGAGAATATCATTAAAGAATCTTGTGGTGTCATATTCAAATACCCTATGGTCAATTTTTTTATTACTAGGCTTCTCATCCACCCTCGTGTCAATCAATTTATTGCTAAAAGATAGAAGTACAACAGTTGGGAAAAAACTATTATTTTTATGCATGAGAGGGTACAGAGGTTGGATTTTCACACTATTATCGTGGAGGCCGATTTGGGAGAGAGTGCTTTAATCGGGAATTGTTTTAATGCAATAGAGTTAAGCGAATATGGGAAGGTTCTCAATCTTGGTACCAACGTGATTTTTACTGCAATCACGATTACGCATCAGTTATTTTCCTCCCTTGCCGTCTTCCATTAGAATGTAACTACAGCCACTGATCCAGATCAGAGTCTGCCTGGCTACCGACCCATTTTGGCTAGCTGTACAACTTATGAGCAGCACGGAAACTTTCCACCCCTTGGATCCACACCTGTGTCGGAGGAACGTCGGGATTTCTATGGCGATGCTGCATTTGTGGGTTTTGGCGATGATCTCGGTCGTGGAGACTATCGCCCACTGAGAGGAGGCTTTTATCCTACTGCTGCAGCAGACGATGCCTATGTTTATGCAGCGCAGAGAAGTCGATCAATGGCCGTAGAAGCACCGAGCATTTCTTGTCTGGAACCGTCAAAATTACCCGCTGTGTTTGGGCCGGAATGGAATGACGAACTAGCTGCACCGCAGACGGCATTCTATGAGGAGAAAATCCAGTAAGACATCTTGAATTCCTTGACCGATAACCAGTGTTTGGTTCATCGTCAACGATGTCTTAGGATGGTTAAGAGCGCTAATTTGAAGAGGGTACGCAGAGTAAACTGCGCCGTCTCCTTATCCTTGGCTTCTGGTTACCGTTTAAAAAATGCCTGGTGAACTATCTTACGAAATACTTGCCCTATTTTGGCCACGCGCGGAGTGAATGCTTGCACAAACCGCTGTAGGGTGCTTATTGATGAGGAAAATCACCGCTGATTGACCTTTGTTTAGTCGCCTTTATAATCCGTACACTACCCAGATTTTAGGCATCTGTAGGGTTGAGAGTCTCAAAGAGCCTGAATCTGGGTTGAATTAGTTTGACAACCTCATGAATGTGACATGGCTTTTCTGGTATGATAAACTTCTCTGATGTAGCTTTGATAAGTAAGGGATGGAGAATTGAAAGTTGTTCCCGAATCCTTCATTTCTTTTTTATCTAATGAGATCGCATTGCCCCTTTATTATTGGCGATTTGATGGTGCCGTTCGAGAACTTTTAAACCCATAGATGATGACGTGGTTTACCCACTTCGAAATTGCATTTGCAACTATCCTCCTATGTTTTCACTCAAGTGGTAGCAATTTTGCGCAGGTGTGCTCAGCTAAAGGAGGCGTGTCGAGCATGTTTGGTGAGCTGTGCGGAGGAAATAAAGAGCAGTTCACTCTCTTGCAAACCGACCGCAGGACCGGCGGATAACGGACGCTCAGGTCGGTTAGAGACGTGTTTTGACTGCTGTGCAAAAGACAATTGTACGTACATCTGCGGAAAGTATTCAGCGCATCGATGTCTCATGCGCCTGTGCAGCCGCGGTAAGTTTTACCAATTCATTCATAGCATTATTCTGAGTGGGAAAATATAGGAGAAAAACCGTGCATGGCTGATAAACTCGTTAATTTGCAAGTGGGTAAATATGATGTTGATAGATGGAAGGACAAATGCTTTCATACATTGGTGACTATTGTTAACTTGGGATAGGTTTGTGTGCTGATGGTTCTATGAATAAGTTAAGCGAACTTATGCATCAGTCAAAAAATTGCAAGGGTAAGGTCAAGAACAAAGGGCTGGACGAGTAGTGGTGACATCGAGAAGGAATGACCGAAAGAAAAGTGAATTGATAGGTAAATAACATGAAATGAAGTCTCTGATTAATGGAACGACGTATTAGAAGAGCCGCCTCGCGGATGAATAAATGAAAGAGCAATAAAAGGATGGAAGAGTGGACAGATGGGTGAATAGACAAAAGTTGGATGACCAGATAGCTAAATGAACTAGGAGCGGAAATAGATTGCTTAATAGGCGGGAATTATATTCTTTTCCTTTTTTCTAACGTCTTTAGGAACACGACTAGATTTCCGTCTTACGCCCGAATGGCCCAAGGAGAACCCTTTCATCTGTCACGTTCAACCAGCATCTAGTCGTCCAATCTACCGCCTTCGTTGGTCCCTATTGCACAACGGGCATCCACCAACAAAACAAACTTTCTCAGCCAGTTTGTCATTAAACCAACCTATCAGTGGGCCGCAAGGCGAGTCAATGTGGAGTGGAGGTAGTCAACCTTCAGCTGGAGCGGCGGGTAGGTTGTCCTGCTAAATTTTTGGCCCACCTATTTAAAGTAAACAATACTTTTCAGGCAATGAGACCAAAGAGGGTAGGACGTTATTTGTTACTGTTTTTCCTCTGTTGTAGACAACGTCGTGAAGCGTCTTCCGGATGGGACGTTGAATCAACTTTTTCGGGGCCTGTTGAACGTGGACTATACTCTCGGCCTCTCACATATTCCGGACATTATCAGCGGCTCTGCTAATACCCAGGCTGCTTATTATTGGAGCACACAAGCAAGCTTCATTCATTTTGCCTTTTTTTACTGCAATGAAGTAGAATAACTTCTACTGTTTCTTGTTTTGACAATAGTTGTGGCGTTTAGATATGCTCTTTCGTTTGTTTAATAAAATTAACAGAAATGCGCCGTTAGTGTGGTTCCGGGTTAGCGATTTTTTCCCATCTTGGGTACAGTTTCCATGGAGAACCTTTTCGTCTCCTTTCCCAATCTTTGAGGTACCCAATCAGCGTCCGCATTGGCAATTTGACGGTAGTGAATGCCCCTTGATTACTATGTGGGACATAAAGTATCTCACATGCTTAGCTACTTTCAGTCTTGATCAAGACTACCTACTTTGGTGTTGGTAATGGGAACGATGTCGAGTGTAGAGAGGAGACGCAGTATGCTTAACTCCAAAAGTAGTGGAACTACGACATAGTAGAACACCTTATACTATTATCTCTACTCATTACTTACTTCAAATTGCTCGTCAGTGGAAAAAAACCCTTGTTGTTTTGGGACACCTTGCTTCAGTTTCCTATTTGAACCGTAAAAGGTGTGTAGGGAATATGTCTCTGTTTCCCATCTACTGGCAGTAGCATTCGCCTACCATTGATGCCTATTTTTGCTCTCTACTGTTGTTTTAATGTTTCGAGCTATTGAAAAAAGTTGCATTATGAACTATTCATTCGTTCAGCATAGAAGAGGCTAGGTAAACAGACACGATTTGAAGCCTCAAAAGTCACTCCATCGTTGTTGGTGTGTATTAAAATGAACCGTTTGTGTCTGAACAACTAACGTGCATTGAGAATTGACTTTCGAATTTCCATCCTTGAGTGAGTCAATAAAGGGTGCCAGTGACGAGGCGTATGCGGTCCACTTTCTATCTCATCAATGTTTTTGGCCATGACGCACTCCTGTACTCCTGTGTAGCACCGCGATTGCGTTTTTTCCCTTCAAATATTTTACTTGGGACCAGTCGGTTATGGCTGTGTCAACCCAACACCACTCGAGGTTGCTCATAGCTGTTCCATATCCCACTACCAAGAGATAGCTTGCATGGAAGAGTTCTGGAAGGAACCTCCTACTTTTATGGGGCAGCACAAGACCATACTTTAAAACTTAATTGAGGCCTTCACCCTACATCATTGATAAAAGAGATGGGCTAAATGTTGTCTACCCATTCATTATGTTCTTTCAAGGTATTTTCCAAGCCCAACTGGATGCTCTCATAGGTAGGTATGAAATAGTCGCAGTAACGATTGGTGGAGGTCCTCTTCTTTCCCTTAAAAGCAAAATATCTCAAAAAAATGAAACAGACATTTGTAGTCCAATTTAGAGTGATGACTATTTTAGTAAATAAGGTGTACCAATACATTTCCTACAATTGGTGCATTAACTCCAAATTTTGCACAGCCTTAGTGTAAACGATCAACATAAATGCTCACCTTTGGGGGGAAATTGGATTTTTGCTACTTTTGTCAAAGGTGCTGGACTATACCACTTAATTACTGCATGCCACATTCACTGCAGCACTTCACCCTGGCTGTTGCTCATTTTCCACTTTCCATAAAGCCCAACCCTCTCTCGCACTAGCATCTTGGTCCACCCTAGCGCAGACTTAGCTCTTCAAGGGCCTACCCTTCTTTACGACATGTGATCAGATTTTTGCTTTTTTTGTGATAAACATCTGTTCTAATTCAAATGGACTGCGTCACAGTATGAGGCTTTCATAGATTCAGTCACTTATGATGTTTCTACTTTTCAGACAATTCCCCTTCTGCAAAACACTATGGCAAGCACTTTTGGAGGTGGCGCTGGTAGCCCTGGTGGTGGAGTAGGAGGAGGCGGGGGCTACACGGGAACGAGTGGAAACTATCCCTTTCTCCCGCCATTTGGATCCTCCCAAAGTGATTCAATTAGTGGCGCAACTGCCCCCAGTCTCTTAGTCTGGCCATCGAAACCCTTTGAGGTGAATACAGACCTCTGGCGTCGCCTTTCTGGGGCACCGTGTGCATCAGCAGATCATTTGCTGGAAAAGCTGAACATCTACACACCTGCACTGGCGCCTTACATCGGCATGACTGACGTGCAAGTAAGCCAAAAGGAGTGGCATTTTGTCTTCCAGAGTCTTACAAAACGTGCCAATAGGGAAGGACTTTTCGATGAGTTGTGATGAAATTGCGAGCAAAGGAACTGAACTTTCCGATCTTGTTGTGGGGCGATATTTAGCTCTTGCCGTGGTTTCCCTTCTGCGTTAGGCAATATCAGCAAAGTTTAGCTAATTGGGATTGTTCGTGTGTGGTAGGTGTATCCTCCTTGCTCATTCCAAAGAGTATTCTTTTTCCTGGCCAGTCTAAACCCTGCTAGAAGAAAGCTTTTTTTGTGCATCTTCAAGCGATGTAGTCCAGAGCTCAAGGGGGATCGTTTGTCCCGTGACCACGTAAAACCGGTTTCATCTTCCGGAGCGAATCATTAACAGGCCTCCTACCTCATATACGCGAATCTGATGTTTGTGGTTTTAGTTAATGCACATTCCTTCCTTTCCAAGTGTTCGATTGCTAGAGGACTCTGTGGCGTCCGAACTGCGTGATAAGAAGGCTTGAACGGGAGGAGTTGCATGGTTTAACCAAAGGGGGTAGTAGATCCACAGGCTGCTTAAACTTGCCCTCCCTTTAAAACTATTATATTGTCACCCACCGCTTGTGACCCACACAATTCTGTTCGAACATCGGACGAATTTTTTTCTGGTCATTAAATAAAACCAGAAACGAACGCCTTTTACGGATAAATGAACCTTCTTAACCGCTTGGCGCTACTTAGGGCTCCAATAATTTGAATGAATTAAGAGTTTTTGTTTTGTGCTGCACGCATCTTTAATATCTACGGCAAACAAGAGGAGAGGAGGGACCATCATCGAAATCTGGAATTTGTACGGTAACATGTTGATGTATTTGACACATTCAAACTTCACTTCTATTTCTCTGTAGGTC